ATTTGAAGTGTTATAGTTCTGTCCTTAGAATCGTTTTCGAGAATGGTAATCACAAGGTCATTCACAATAGTTGATTTTTATTTAACATAATTTCGTACATATAACGTATTCTATAGTTTCGAAATAATGATTTGAAGTGTTATAGTTCTGTCCTTAGAATCGTTTTCGAGAATGGTAATCACAAGTTCATTCACAATAAAACGGATAAAACCACCCCAATCTTAGGATTGAAAATAGTAATCTAAATAAACTCCTCGTGATTATTCAACAAGGAACCAATTGATGAATGACAACTAAGGCTTAACAGATGATGATGAAATATTCCTGTGTAGTTAAACCCATCGAAATGTGCTCATGAATGTTTTCTTCTCAAACTTCAAGTTACTGACTTGTTTTTATATCCAGTGAGGTTTTTATTACTTCATACTGAATATTTCTATGCTACCAGTAGGGTTCTTATTGAATTATATTGAGTAATTATGTTTTTCGTGTTGTAACACTCGATGTAGGGCCCAGCATGGCCAGGTGGTTAGGGGTGCTTGACTCGCAATCTGAGGGTCGCGGGTTCGAATTTCCGGTTGTTTGATACAAGGCCCTTAATAACTAATGAGTCACATAAAAAAATAACCCAAAAATATCATCAATATTGCAATTAATCTAACAAACTGCTGCAGGAGTCTGGTATGCATTCTACGTAGAAAATGAATGATTCGTCCAATTGTTTTGGCCAGTTTAGCAGTGAAAGACTATAGAGAGAATCATCACCAACCACCGCCAACTCTTCGGCTACTCTTTTACTAACGAGTAGTGGAAGTGACCATCACAATATAACGCCCTCACGATTGAAAGGGCAAATATGTTTGGTGGAAAATTAAAAACGTACAAACAATATTCTGGAGAAATAGTTTAAACGTGCGCTTCGATGTGGAATCCATCACTAATTCTAGCCCCCCCCCCCCAGTGGCACAGCGGCATGTCTGCGGACTTACAACGCTAGAATCCGGGTTTCGATACCCGTGGTGGGCAGAGCACAGATAGCCTCTTGTGTAGCTTTGTGCTTAATTACAAACAAACAAGCACTAATTCTAGAGTGTAATCAGTGTTACCTTGAAGAAGTTTGTTTAAATACAAAACATACGTTTACTTTTATTATATAACGAGTCTTACACTATTAATGATAAAACGTTTTGGTGTAATAAAACTAGTATTACAAACCATAAAGTTTAACTGAAAGTTATAAATATATAAAAAAAAGAATTATTAACTTGTCTGTCTGTAGGTCTAAAAATAATCGACTGTCTATATATATATATATAATATTCTTAGTAATTATGTTATCATTTTCAAGCACAAAAAACGCGTTCATTTTCCATATGTCTTCGCATCTTCGAAATTCTACGTATGACGACAGATCTGTAGTTCTAGCACGTGACAGTTAGCTCTAAAAGCCAATTGCGAGACCAATGAAGCTGTGTGTGAAACGCTACTGCCACAGTGTGAGCCCCAACGTCCGACTGTAACGATGTTCTGTCTCGCAGCGCTAGCTTAAAACCTAACTTATGTAAAATCTATTAAGCTGCTTGTTTAAGGAAGAAAGTTTTACAGAATTTCGAACAAGACTATTTTATTGTATTTAAATGTGAAGAAACGAGTAAATGTTATTTTTTATCACAATTTTAAGGTAAACTCTTATGTTTTAGTAGCATTTGATTTACTTGTATATCAAACTATACATCATCTTGTTATTTTAAGTTTACAGTTCTTTCACTAGATTTGAAAATTTGCATATCGTAACTTTTTCAGCTGATCTCGAACATGCCAGAATTCACAACTTCAGCGAACTGGACACCTGATTCAGAACAATCAAAGTCGAGAGATGTAGGCTTAAAAAACTCTACGTACACTGATCCCGTTGAACAATGGAGGGAGCTCTTAACTCCGGAATTTTTTGAGCTTGTCCCAGACTTCTGGCTTCACTTTCCACCACCTTCAGAAGAAGCTCATCAAACATTAGGGGTTCTCTACACCTTGATAATGGTGCCTGGGATTCTGGGAAATGCCTTGATAATCTGGCTCGTTTGTTCGTAAGTATAGTGTCACACTATTGATGTTCTGTATGGTGTTTCTACCGTTTTCACCACCAAAAGTACGTAAGTTTTATATCATAGACTTTGATAGACTTTGTTGTGGACTACATCGTCCTTTCTTTTCTTAGTGTAATATTGTTAATAACAATGATCTATTAGAAAATTTCTACTATATAGAAATATATTATATTATATTTCTACTATATATATATTTATTATATCTTTTTTCGGTCACTTGGGTACATTTTTAGTCAGAAAAGGGCAATTATGGCGTTCAGTCCTATCGTTCTTAGTAGTTTTAATATTTAAATGCTAAATAATAAAATGAAAATTCTTAGATTTCTGTGCAAGAGATTCTAGCGAGTATATCCTCGATTGCTTGAATATTCTTTTAAACTATTTCAATAACAATATTTTTACTCCATTATAACGTATGCCTGCTGTCATTTTAGATATGTTAAACTTCAGTCGGTAACACCGTCATTAAACAGATATTTTATATACCAACCACAAAAATGTTGAGAAACTTTATAACAGATTTACGTTTAAAACATGAAAATGAAACTCATAAAAGTAAATTTCCATGATTACAATACGTATATCTTTTATACAAAACAAAGAAGGTAACTGTAAAAAAAAATGCCTAATTACCAGAACACCAGTTTTCAAAATATATATCCAAATGATATTGGATCCCATAATAAAATATACTCCTTAAAATTACACTCGCAAGGTAGGTTTGTCTTTTTTCTGGATTTACGCAAAAGCATCAAAAACAAAGTTATAATTACTCTGGTACAAGTAGACCCTGTACAGGGCGCTGTGTGGCGTAATAAAAAAATGTTTGTTGTAAAACTTAAAGCTATACAATGGGCTATGCATGCTCTGCCCACTGCAGCTATCAGAACCCGATGTTTATATTTTTGAGCCCACAGATGAACTGCTGAGCCTTTGGGTGACACAGAAAATTGAGAAATTCACATTTGTGTCTTCCCGTATTGTGCTAAAAGAAAAACCAGAACCTCTCCTTAATAAAATCAATTCAAAACAGAAAACAAATTCTCCTCAAACATCCCATGGTATTAGAGTAACTGGAGAAGCAAAATATTTATATATGACAGTGCTAATTTTACCATAAAATAAGCATATCGACAAATCACGAACTTTAATTCTACATAACCAAGCCGGTCTAGGAAGAGATCCATACAAGATACACCATTGACTATCACCAGTTCGTTTCTCAGCCCAAGAACTATAACAACATTCATAACCCAGTCAAAAAAATGTCAAATATATTTCCACGAAATGCTGAAAAAAAAACATTGACTTGAATAGTTTTAATAAGTGCTTTAGTCTACAGGTAAAAGATAAAAATAAAATATCAGCCAAAGTTTGACGTGGCTTTGCTCTCTATGTAAGTTCATTATATTTACGCTTGTTTACACTTCAACCAATAATGGAAACTCTGGACATGATGATTTTACAAGATGATAACAAGCATGTTTATAATAAGAAATCGTTGACTGTTGTAAAATGTCAACAATGGATTTCCCATGTAAAGTAATAATACCAACCAGTTGATACATGTAATACATAGTAGAGTGCGTAGCGGGGATTTGTTAAAAAAATAAAGATTAAATAGAAGAGACTCATGAAGTAACCCTATTAAAGTAAACATACACGGAATTCTACGCAAGTCTAATCTTTTCAATCTACTAAGAACATTTCGATAAAATCTTGTTAAATCCGCTAACAATGATTTTCCAAATCAGTAGCTTCAGTTGCTAGCACGAAACTTTTCTGATGGAGCTTATATCAGAGAAAGCACTAATAATATTTGAAAAGAATCAAGCTTTAGAAGCTGGGAACCTAACTCCAAATCGCCAAATTCAGACTTTTGACTCAGAAATCGATGAAATGTGCTCCCAGAAAAACTTAAAATAGAATTATAAAATTTATCTAACAACGTTTGGCATGGAGTAATAAATTTAAACCTGTACCAAGGTTCTCGAGATAACTGTATTAATAAAAGGAGAGTATCATTTAAAAATATTAAAATTTAAACTCATTTCATTTATTTAATGCTGTTATAAGTCGATGCCTGTTTGTTTGTTTGTTTTGAATTTCGTGCAAAGCTACACGAGGGCTATCTGCGCTAGCCGTCCCTAATTTAGCAGTGTAAGACTAGAGGGAAGGCAGCTAGTCATCACCACCCACCGCCAACTCTTGGGCTACTCTTTTACCAACGAATAGTGGGACTGACCGTCACATAATAACGCCCCCACGGCTGAAAGGGCGAGCATGTGTGGTGTGACGGGGATTCAAACCCCTGACCTGCAAACTGCGAGTCGAATAAGTCGATGCAATAATTCTAACCAATTTTTGTTCATCCGTGCAATGTTATTAACAAAAAATGCGAGTTATTAACCATCAGCCCTTGGATCTACAGACAAGCACTCTGATTACACAAGTACGTGAGAAAATATCTAAATTAAAACAAGAAATATAAAATAAATTGTGCCTTTCATTAATTTTACGCTACAAATCAATTATAGGGGAAATTATGTTAAACAGTGCCATTTCGATCGGGTTCTTCATTAAACGTGTGCAATTAATAAAAACTCCTGCAACAATATCCGATCCATCGGTAATAACCTTTAAGAGAAAACATTTGATAAAATCTGCAAAATACTTTTTACTTAATTATCATTTTTTGGCATATATATGTTCAATATACATAAAACAAACTATATTATATTTTACTTGTAAGTACAAAATCATACCTCGGATAATTACACACTGTAATTAAAACAACAGTCCCTCCAACTCCCATTGGTCATCCCTGAATCATGCAGATTAATAACACATTAATTATAAAATTCGTACAGGCGTTTTTCCAGCACAAAGGTCACCAAATGAGCCGATTTAAAGTTTGTTTCCTGCAAATACAAAATTTCAGAATCCAAGATTTTAAACAATCCAGCATTGTAATCTATTGTGTAACACAATAGCACGACCTCGAACATTTGGAATATAAAAAATAATAAAATAGGAGGTGCAACATTAAACTTAGAAGAATGAATATTACTATTAAATTATCTTTAAAATTAAGAAGATCGAAATTATAGAATTATCTTAAGATAATTTGGAACCTGTTCTTGAAAAACATATGCCAGACACTTCTGTTCTGTTCTTCAGACAACTTGGAACTTTCTCTAACTGAGAGCCTCCTCAATAGCTCAACGGTAAATCTGAAGGCTTATAACGCTAAAAACCGGGGTTTTGATATTCGTGGTGGACACAGCATAGATAGCCCCTTTTTTAGTTTAGTGCTTAACAATATACATACAAACAAAATCTAGCTGAGAATTTAAATTAAAAAATAATGTACATTTTAAAGTATTTTCAAATTTTTGGGCGATCCTCTAACGTCTTTTTTTTTACTTATGTGATTCTTTTAAACAAAAGAAACTTGGAAAATATTTCCACGTCTACAGCGTTGTGGTTTCCCATTATTACAACCCCTGATTAAATCGCTACTTCTATAAAGTTCTTACTAGTTCTAGCGTATTACCATTTATGAATACTTACATAAGTCCATAATTACTTTATTGTAGCAATAACTTCATGATTATCCATCTCTCTCTCTCTCTCTCTCTTTTTTTTTGATCTACTTATTGAAAGCCCTAAACTTCTGTATGTTCGTCCACCTCCGCGTCTATTACAGATGGTGGGGTTTCTGTACGAAGTCTCGAATCCGAAACAGTGAATTCACTCAACCTTTCAACATACATTTGGACATTTTTTCCTCGAAATCGGACTACTTTTGTAGCCGATAAAAATACCTTTTATGTGACCTAACTTATAATAATGGAAGTACTGCATGGCGGCGTAAAGAAATGTGTACATCAAGTTCGTAATTTACATTCCAATACATTGAGAAATCTCGATGTCATTGTCTAATTTAGCAAAACTTGTTGTCGAAAACTTTTAGTGTGAGGATATTCCGTCAAATCAATAGAAATTGACAAAGAACATACCGGTCCAACTACACGCCCTAATTTGGGCATCTCATCATGAAGCACAGAATATGACATTTCATTGGAGCGTTTGAACCTACCGGTCCAACTACACGCCCTAATTTGGGCAACTCATCATGAAGCATAGAATATGACATTTCATTGGAGCGTTTGAACCTACCAGTCCAACTACACGCCCTAATTTCGGCAACTCATCATGAAGCATAGAATATGACTTTTCATTGGAGCGTTTGAACCTACCAGTCTAACTACACGCCCTAATTTGGGCAACTCATCATGAAGCATAGAATATGACTTTTCATTGGAGCGTTTGAACCTACCGGTCCAACTACACGCCCTAATTTGGGCAACTCACCATGAAGCATAGAATTTCATATTTCTGATTTAGTTTTTGAAATTATTAATTTCAGTAGAGCAACTGCGACTGACTTAACGTCCAGATATCGTCATCGTGATATGTTATTCTGGCCAGGATTTTATCAATATAATATGAATACATAATTTCTCCTGCCCAAGGTGACTTGTACTGCTGGAACGCTAAAAGTAATAGCGTCTAAGTGATCAACAATAGGAAAATACTAACTAAAAATGCCTGTTAATCCCCCCCCCCATTTTTCGCATTCTTAATACCATCATTCATATTGAACTAGAAGACTTGTTTACTTGATACAAGTAATATCGGTGCAAGTACACCTGCCCATGAAATGCCAGATACGTGGGTTTTAGAATGTTGATCAATATTCACTCCAGCCACGACTGAAGGTGCTCAGATAAGTATGCACAAAGCTAACTAAAGCGAAAGAAATTTACAAAACAACGTATTTAAGTAATAATGCCAAAAAAGATAGTTTCTAATTATGATACCAAAACAAAGAAAAAATTGCACATAAGCCAAGAAATGTCGGTGTTCACCGTAGAATCTAACAACGACAAAATCTGTTCGTGCCATGGTAAGTT